CAGGGATATTCAAGAAATGTCAAAGCCCAAAAGAGCAACTGAGCCCAAAAGAATAAACACCAGTTCCAGAGCTGCTCCTAAATGTAGCTACATGCTTAATGGTCTGTTGACAAGTCCAGGATGTTTACCTAATAATGTGGCCTGATTAATTAAGGAAGATAATGCAACATTGTAAGGTCACTAGAGGGAGTAAGTATGGGGAATTTTTTTTTTGAAGCATAGATATATTGTGCTTAGATTGCTTATCTCTATAAAAAGGAAGTAAAAGTTGCATACTGTAATTAAATTGTGGGAACATAAAAAGAAAACTGGTGATTGTACATTTGCCATAAAATGAAGAGACTGTAATTACTCATGGGAAGCTCATTGAGCAATATCTGCTGGTTTTTTAAAAAATAAAAAAGCTTAACTTGATTGATTGACAAGAGGTTAAGCAAACCTTTGGAAATCATTTCTAGAATTGTTTCTGGATGCCTACAAAAATTAGGGCTGTCTTCCTTTTTTTTACAACTGGGCAAGGACCTAATCAATCCCCTGATATATTTAAATAACAATTAAAATCTGGTTTAAGAATAGAAATTCATAATTTTAATTTAATACCGTTCTCCTGATATTCAGAGGACAAGTACTGAAGCCTTGTACATTCACTGGACAGTATCCTGATCGACAGACTTTCTTTTAAATCTACACTAAAAGTGCATGTGCAGACATCTCCTGTTCAGTTTGATATAAACCCAAAAGTGAGGTTTTACTTTGAATTGGCAAGTGCTCAGTGGGAAAGGAAGTATTTTAGCTATGTACAGAGATGATGTCAAACGAGCTGAAACTATACTCACTAGGCCTTCCCCAGCAATACATATTTGGGCAGAGCATTTTCCTTTATGCTCCTCTCTCTGGAGTGGAAATTTTTATTTTTATTTTTTTATTAAGAAAATTTATATGGCGGTCCAACTCATTCATGGTGGTTCTGGGTGGGTTACAGAAGTGAAACCTGAAATTACAAAGCAAATAAACCCCTACTCATCTGGTGACAGCTATCAAGTAAACTATTTGATGGACTCTGTATCACTCTGGAGTCTTTTTAAATACATATTTATTGAAAGTTACCATTGTGTCACACTAATAAGTGCACAATCGTGCCTACCGTCCCTGTCCTATTGTCTCCATTTATTTGTATCTATTTCCTATATTCGTACTCATGTTTATTCTTATATGTATTATTTTGTAAGCGATTGACAAATCAAATCAATAAATAAAAAATAAAATAATGCTACAGATCTAGTGAGCTAGAACCATCCCTTCAATTCCTTTGAAGAGACAGAGCTGGCTTTGGCTTGGTGGCAGGAAGTGGGAAGCACCATGTTTTTAACTGAGGGTGGGAAGCAAACAAAGAACAAGAAAAAAGGGGGGTGAAGGGAAGGGAAGCTTGCCTTCACAAACTCTGACACTAGCAAGAGGAGAGACTGGTAAGATGGAAAGAATTATTTACATAATAACTTAGTATGTGTCCCTGGAAGACAAGGAAGAGAACTTTGGGCAGAGACTATCTGTCCATTTGACTTACTCATCCCTTTCCACACTATTTCCCAGTGCTGTTCCCTTGTGAGTCACCTTGGGTTCTCAGAGGAAAAAAATATGATATGAATGCCTTAATGTTGAAACCCAAGAACCATCCTCTGATTACATAGGGATACTGAAATAAAGTAAGCAAAGGAGAGAAAAAAGGCTTTCTGAGGTAAACATGGCCAAACTTTAAAGCTATTTCCTCTAAACAGGAGGAGAAGGAGCATCAAGCACCGGAATCACGACATTAATTGCAAATAAATGACGCGCATCTTGAGCACACCAAACGAACACCATTCCAAATGTGGAACTGCTTTTTCGCAGGCTGTTTGTTTTGCTTCTGCAGAGCCGGGTTGAATAAGCCCTTTGTGACCAGTTTCCCCACCTACCATCCTCCAGATATATTGAGTGCTAACTCCCCTGCTTCTGCTTAGGCTGCAGGACTGGCAGTGCTGGGACTTGTGATCCAGCTAATGAAATAGGCTTAAAATGGCCAAGAAAGGATTCAGGTTTTCCTTCTGGGTGAACTAGACCCCTTCCTAGAAGGGCCGGCTGGATCACCCTATAGCACAAGCCAATTCTCTGATGATCTAATTCTGAAATCTTTTTGGGACGGGACAGGAAGAGTATGTAGGCTATCAACACATTCCTAGACGTCTTTTTTTAGGCTGCAGTGGAGCAGCCTAACAGCCCTTGGTGCGAAGGGAAAAGCGGAAAGCGCCACGGCTCGCTGAGCCGTCCTGTCCCCTCTGCAAATATTGATGCGCTAAGCTTTCCCACTTAAAAGCCTAATTGGAGCGAAGTGGAGCTCTGTACACTCGAAGGGAGCCTAATGGAGACATTGCAGTGCTATTAGCACAGATGGTTGTCATATGTATGCAAATGAGGAGCAAATTGAATTGGGTGTCCCTTCTCGCCAGCTGTCCTATCAGCGCCGGGCTCCGGCAGCTTCGGAGAGCTTTGAGCCGGGCGCCGCTGCTAATCCTTTAGCGAATTCATCATCTTCGCCTTTACCGGGGACAAAGGGAGCGGCGCGGGCACTCTGCTACCACCTTCGCTGGGCCGTCGAGACTCAGTTCTGTAGCTAAAGGGCGCGGTTCCAGGAAGGGCAGAAGGCGGGAAGTGTCCGGCCTCTTCTTACCCGTCGGGTAGGGGCTTCGGGCTGCTGGAAGCGCTAAAGCGCAGGGATGAACAACCTTGGAATCGGACGCGTGTCCAGCTAATTGGTGCCACAATGGTTATCTCTCTCTCTCTCTCTCCCTCTCTCCTCCCTCCCTCCCTCCCTCTTGGCAGCAGCATTCCCCTAAGGGGTGCCTTGGGATTTCAGCCTTTTCTATCTCCATTACCATCCCGTTCGAAATTCGGCTGACTTTAATGAGAACATGAGCAACGCCTCCTTGGAAACAAGCTGAGCTAATATATACTCATTACTAAAAATTGGAAGGGAAACAGAGTGCCAGTTTGATAGTGTCTGTCATTTAGCTGCAGGGGACAAACTCAGCAATGTGCAATAGGACAATCAGAAGATGATTTACCCTCCATTGTTTGTGGAGGAAACATATGAATGAACGTGGCCCATCACGCAAGCCTAAATATTTTATATGCATGTACTACAGGCCTTTTCAATATTAACTTTTTAACTAGATGCAAATGGTGTTTCTCAGAGGGCCTGAGCATCTTTAGTGTACATTTTAAACATGGAAGCACCGAAAAACATATGTGCACGAACATTTCACATAAGACTGGATAAGTACTATAAAATACAAAAGTAAATTTGCCACATGATGATTCTTACATTTTCTTCTAGTGCTACATTTTCCCAACTGTATTTTAAGAATGAATGCCATTCATTGGCTGTTTAAGAAGTGCGGTGAATATTCATCTTCATAAACTTATATTTCATTTGGATTATTGCCATGCAATCTGGATGAAGCGACTTTTAAAAACTGCTGCTGGTTCAGACAAAGCTAGCATGTTGTCGGGTGTTTGCTTGCTGGATCACATCACTACAACCATGCCAGGTTTTGCATTGTGTTTCTGTGCGCAATTCAGAATATTGGCTAAGTTTCTAAAGGCCATAATAATCAATGAATGTTTTAGGAATCCTCACTACTTATGTACCTTCTGCTTTTTGCTTTGATGGGAAAACCATCGTTATGTTCCCACTACCGTATGTTGAAATTTCAGTGGATGAGGGAAAAAAAAGATAGCCTTTCTTGCGGCCCTTTTGGTAGGATTGATTAAACTGTTGTGCAATTTTCTGTATTGTGAAAATGTATTCAGGCAAAGGATTTTTGAGGGGGGCAGACAAATATATTTTTATCAAATAACAGAGTTTACCAATTGCACTTACTTATGTACTAATGCATGCTGTGTAACTATTTGAAAAAATTAGACATAATACTAGAAATTGATTGGCTTATTTTAAAACCATTTGAATTTAAGTTAGAATTGTTGGAACTTTACTAGATAGCAATAGCAATACTTATCTACTGCTTCACAGTGCTTTGCAATCCTCTCTAAGCAGTTTACAGAGTCAGTCCCCAACAGTCTGGGTCCTTATTTTACCCACCTCGGAAGGATGGAAGGCTGAGTCAACCTTGAGCCTGGTAAGATCCAGTCTGCCAAATTGCAAGTAGCTAGCAGTCAGCAGAAGTAGGTAGCAGCTTTGCACTCTAACCGCTGCACCACCAGGGATCCAACTTTCATATTTGCATTTTACTTTTGTTGGATATCAAACATAGAAGTCCTACTGAGCCATACATATAGGACTGTATATTCCTATTTATGAATCCAGCTGTAATGGTTGAAACCACAGTTTATGGATTAGCATTCAATATTAAACTATAGAAAATGCAGGCCCATTCAAAAGCAAATCAAAGCTGGATTTGGTTAGTTCTTGGATGGTGGATTGCATAAACATTGCAGGGCTTTAGGCTGGAGTGGGACATCACAAAGCATCTTGGAAAAAGTCAGTGGAAATCCACTCTTGCACTGTGAGAAGAAAGATATTTGGATGTCTCTATGTAATTGCTAGAATCACTTGAAGGACACTTTACCTTTTTAAGAGATTCATCTGCGAATGAGCAAGTTTCTCTTTCAGCTCCCATTGTAGCTACATTGCTTTCAGCAAGGCATTTTTACCCTTTTATGGTTAGTAATACCTGCCTTCTTTACAGGGTTGTTACAAAGTTCACTAATATAAGTAATATATCGCTGTGCGATTCCACATGTTTTAAACTGCGCACTGAAATATAGGTGGTTTTTTTCACTATGTTATGACATTTCAAGAATGTTCGAATGCAAAAGTTCTCAGCGATTTTCTTACGGTCTTTGGGGTCACCTAAAAGTGAACAAGAAACCAGGATGTAAATATTACTATAGACCCCTCACATCCTGGACATAAAAAATGTTTCTACCTCTCTCCTCAGGACTACAGGGCATTGTATACCAAGACAACTAGATCCAAAGACAGTTTTTTTCTCTCTCGTGCCATCATTCTGCAGAACATCTAATTCCCACAATACTATCTTTTGTCTAAGGATATTTACCCGTGCTGTAGGAATGTATTACTATTATCCTTTTCATTTTTTCTACTACCTTCTCCTATTAGTATCTTGTATTACTTTGTTGTTTGTATGTACACTGAGAGTTTATGCACTGGATACAAATTCCCTGTGAATCCAATCACACTTAGCCAATAAAGAATATTCTTATTCTAATAGGTGTTTTTCTAGGCTTATATTTTATAGAATGACAAAACTACAAAACTGATCAAACATTATTCCCTTGTTTTTCTTAATAACAATAGTACTATAACAATGACAGCTGGAGATTGTCTCTCAGTCCTTTTCCCAGGACAGCTCATTATAAAGAAACAAATGTGTCCCCTATTAAAACCATGAGTTTGGATGGCCCAGAAAGCAACCTTCAGTTCTGTGGTCTCCTTGTCTCCATACTGTTCTTCAAATTAACGTGTCCCTATACACTGCTTGGATTTGAATTCTGGACCCGGTTGAAAAAGGGGATGTTTTGATTGGTCTTCTGTTCAGAATACCAGCTTGGGGATTGTGGCTACAAAGTTGGAGCAGGTACACCCCTTGTCCTGCCAGATTGCTCTTCTCTTTATGCATCTGCTACAGTTCATATTTCAGGTCATGAAATTTGACAAAGAGAGACTCTAACGAAGGCTCTTTGTTAAGCAAATAAACCTTCAGCAAGGCAAATTGAAAACCACAAACTGTCAGCATGTGGTTGAGGCTGAAGACAGGACAGCCCCATTTGAAAAAATAATATACAATGAATAAATGCCCGACATGTTGCAATTACCCTTACTGAGATTATAAACACAGAGGATTTAGGAATTTATCATTCACCCTAACTGAACCTTCTCCTCCCAAACATAACAAAGCCTGGGAATGCAAGACATGCATCCAACCATTTTTCTGGGTTTTTTGGTGAGAGGCTGTTGAAGGAACTCAGGATTTTCCACTGAAAATGTCATAAATGCTTTGTGGTAATCCGCATAAAAGTCCTATTAAACTCATTGAAACACATGAAAGAAAAAAGACTAAAATGTGCCCTGGACTGAACATCGTAATATGAAGAGAGTGAGTTTCCACATGATAATGGTATGCATTCAATTCAGGATCAGCATGGTTATCTTTAAGCCAGTTGCTTGGATTTGGCCTCCTTACTTCTGGACTTCTGCCAAGAAAACTACATGAGGGTGTCCAGTTAGCAGAAGGCCAGCTTGATTTGCTGAGGTGTCTTTTGCCTTTCTGGTTTTTCACCAGTGAAACAGCACTTAAAGTTCATGATCCTACACATGCTCACTTCTGAATAGGCTTTACTGTAGAGTAGGCATGCCTAGAATTATATTTGTAAGTACCTTGAGGGTAAAATTTTTAGTTTTTCCCCTCTAAGATTGAAAATAGGGCTGAGGCTTTAGAAGAAGAAAACTGGTTTTCTCCTTTTTCTTAACTACCTCTTCGTAGCCTCAGCTGGTTTTTTGTGAGTCTGAAAATGTTAACCTTATGAGAGCCACTTGGTATGTTGTTTGGATGGCAGATTAAGAATAAGGGGAATAGGTTTTCAGGGAACTCATTTTTTCTCATTATTCCAATCTAAGAAATTTAGATCAGCCAATACTTATGCTTATTAGAAAAAAAACCCCCCGATGTGTTTGTGTGAGTACATGAACAAAACAAAATCTTATTTTTATTTCCATTTCCAGTAAAACTGTTGGTTGAAAATGGAAATAAAAGCATTAAGTTCTAACATGAGGCAGAACAATATATGCATTTCTGAATAAAATCATTCAAAAGAGATACTGTTTATGCTCTTTTTGCATAATATATTTTTTACAAAGGCTTTTAATGAATTTGCTGCCACTCATCAATATAGATTGAGAAATTTGCTTGTGACATTCGATCAATATCCAGGGTACACTGAGAAGATAATTGAAACCTGTAAAATGTTAACAGGATGGCTTTAATTGTTTCTCTCACTCAGCAATGCCATTCGAGTGTGATAATTCATTTATGTATACAAGCTTCAGGTTCCACTGTACAGAATAAGAGGTCTTTTGTACTCTTACATGGAAATTTACAAGAATTTGGATGACTTTGATCGAAGTTCTTTTTGAGAAGTATGAAAGGACGAGTAAAAGATTTCAGACTGTATGGAAACTCAATTCTTGACTGGTTAATAGATTTTGGAAGAAATTGTTAACTAGGCTTATCAATCTTTCCCTCTTTTCCATTGTTGCTCTTCCCACTCGTTTTTTTTTTTTTTTATAGTAGAAATAAACTCTTCTTAGGCACAGCCTCTAATACTACTACAAGAAGAGAAGACAGATGGCAGATCTACTCTTCCAACTTACCCTAGTGTAGCTGGCCATCATATTGGAGGGCAGAAATATCTGTCATTGTCAGCCAATGTTCAGCCCTCATCAATGTAACCTTCACCTGTGTTTTCTGATTCAAAAGTTATCAAAAGTGATGTTTTCTGTCCCATCCAATTTCAACTCATGCTGTCTGGGTTGCATGCTGGGCTTCAAACTGTCTCTTTGCTATTCAAATTTAGCATATCTTTTTGCCATTTTTAAATGTATATCAGTTGCCAAGACAGGTATTGGCTGAAACAAGAATATGGTTCTAAGAATATTCATCTTTATCACAGAAATTCTCCCCAGCAAAGAAAAGGTTCATCTTATCCCAATTTCATCTAGAAAGCATTGTTGTTTTTGAATTTAACCTACCTCTAAAGAAGGAAAAGGGAGTGACACAATGAGCATTTAGGACATTTAGAAGAAAAATTAATAATTGTAACATTAACATAGTATTTCAGTATATTTTTATTTTAAATGTATAAAAACGACTTGTAGAAGCAGTGTTAATGTCACTGGAATACAAATGGGACAGAGGAAAATCCTGTAATGTTAGCCAGTCTTTTTTTTTTTTGCGAATTCAGTGGTTGAGTCATTCAATTGACTCCACACCCTGCATTGAACAAAGTTTTGATTAATTGCAGTTATGAATGATGATTGGTTTGTTCAGGATAAACTAAGGTTGACAGATCACCCTATCTGGATTCACAGAACCAACTAAAGCAGAACCCAGCAAATCAGATTATGGTTTACTATGAAATATGAAGCCATCTACTTGACTCTCTGGGTCCTTACCTGTAAAACAGAGTAAACACAACACAGAGGGGCATCTTAAAACTTAACACTGATCTAGTTTCTTCTACATAGATGATTAAAAAGATTACTTGTCCCTCCCCCCAAAACTGAACCATTGGGATCACATCCATCACGTTCATCATGTTAATGAAAGAAATAATTGTCATGGGCTGACATGTGTTTACCTCTCTGAGGCTGAGCCATTTATCTACATGAGTTCCCTGAACTGATAAAATACTGTCATGTCAAGTGAAATCCAGACAGCTGTAAATCAAGATGATAATAATGTGTGTGGGGCTGGAGATGAGCTGGAATGGTTTCAATGTTGAGAATATTTACACCAGGTTCCTGCATAATGTGTCTATTAAAACCCTGTCAGAAAAATAATATTCAGTCCCTCTTTCTCTATGTTTGAATCAAGCTTAGCCTGGACTTTGTATGGGAAGTGCCTTTTCCTTATAGCTTTCTATTTATTTTTCTTCCTCACTGATTGCATGAAAGCAGGCATTTCCCCAAAGACTCCAATATTAGACTGGACTGGAGGCTGGGAGATATGTGCAGAAGAATTGCCACGGATATATGAGAAGCAGAAATGGATGTGCATAACCAGCCCCACTGTATACCTAAGAAGATCAATGGTCATTTTGTGACTGTGTCTCACGGGCATTTTTGAAATATATGTAGAGAGAAGTGGCCTAGGAGAATTAGAGTAAAATGTCATCCTCACAACTATCCTACAATATTTTCTTTTTACTGGGAATACAGATAAAAGATTGTGTCTTCTTCAAGATCTCAGAGTGAAATGATGACACCCACTGAAGCTAAAGACTTGAAAAAAATTTAGTTTCCACAAGCCGTTCTTTGCAATGCATCTGAAGGTTTTGTGGTATTTTCAAGTTAGTTGGCAACTGCCTAGACAAATCCCTATAGTTCCAGGTGACATTTCAGGAGTGGTTTTCCTATACCTTCTTGCCCAAGTGATGACCCCAGCTCACCTAGCTAGCTTTGTGCCAGAGGAGAGACTACAACTCCCAATCTCCTGGTTTCTAGCCTGATGCCTTAACCGCTAGACCAAACTAACTTTCTATCTGAAATAATGCACCCCCCAGTTGCCTTTTGTGTTCATTATCCTATATGGTTCTCAGGCACTATGGGAGGCTTTTCTGCATGAAAATAACTATTTTTATAATCATTATTTCTTAATATAAAATACAAATGAAAATAAAGACAATGGGAAAGAGGGTAAGGGAAAGGAAAAGAGGAAATAGACTGAGGAAGAGGGAAATTTTTAAAAAAAGTAGTGACTTGCAACTGTCTTCAGTGCAGTAGGTTACAGAAAATTACAGTTTTTATTAAAGCAAATCATTGTTTTATTTAGAAGTACAGATGATATTTATTATGGAGATATGTGATGGCAAGATAATTCTATGCTTAATTTTAAGTGTGGTATTATTATATATATATTATTTTTATTTACATTATTTTATGAAAAAGTGTTTGAATAAGGAGCTAGAAATGTGTAACCAAAACAGCATTGCCAGAGTAAGTATAAGAAGTTACTCACCTAGGAAAACTAGAATTGCTATCACCCCATAAAACATACCGGTATATAACATCTTAGGTGAAGAGTAATTTTCACCGGAAAGACCTAAGGGAAGAATTAATTGCCTGTCCCCAAGAGCTATGGATTTGATCAGGATGTATCGATTTAGTATAAAACAAACCCTGCACTTGTGGGAATACGCTAGGAAGAAGTATCAGTTTAGTGTATCATTGAGTTGCTCCAAGTCTCTAAATCATATGCTTCATATGATGAGAAAGAAAT